GGGGGGGAGGGAGTTTTAGTGAGGCACTGAAAGTTTCGTTCAGTTGGTCGTGGGTATAATTTTCATTGGTGTCACAATTCCATTAAAAGCCGCGCATGCTTGGTGCCCTACCACCTAGAGATAGCCTGCTAGCCAGCCAGGCCAGCATTATCAGGCAGGACCTCAATGATTTTTTTTTCCCTCTTCTTTTTTTTTTTCCTTTGGGTTACATCTTGCTCTTCACGGGGTAGCGCCCAAGGAAACATCTCATTATATCGCTGTATTTGGGGCAAGTTTCAGTCTAGATACAGCGATTAAAGCCTGGCATGATAATAGAGAGCTGAGGTTGGCTTTCCACAGATAGACTACGGTAATCCCATCACCAGAAAAGCAAAAGAAAGAGAAAAATTCAGGCTTGGGGAGAGCATTCAGCTTAATATATTGTTGTTGTTTTTTTTACTATTTTACGCAACAAGAATTTGGCCACTATTTATTTATAAAAAAAAAAAAACCATGGCTATTAGCCTATTTATTAGACACATTTGGTCTTTCATTCTCTCTTTCGATCGGGGTCTCAAGTAAGCTTGGTGGGGAAGGGAGTGCGAAGGGGAGGAGGTGCAGCTCCAGCTCGCTACAGTCTTCCACACGACCGTCTTCACCCGAATAGAACGCCCGGTAATTATCGCTGTATCTGGACTGGAAGTTGCCCCAAATACAGCTATAATGACCGGGCGTTCTCTTCCCGTGAGGACCGTAGGGCCCTCCCACTGTCAATGCCTGCCCAGCCACTCAGCAGGAATCTACTGTGGTGGACCAGGTGTAACTTCTCTCTTTTTTTTTTTTTTTTTTTTTTTTTTTTTTTTTAACCAGGTGTAACTTCTCTCTCACACTAACACTTGGAATGGTTCCCGAACTTAGAATCCTTTCAAGCAACACGCTTCAAGGATTCTCCATGGACGTAGAATCTTTCCGATGTTTTGCAGATCTTAATCTTAATAATAATAAAAAAAAAGGGGGTAACTAGGGCCCAGTCACGAAAGCAGTTTGTTTTCGTAAATGCATTTCAAACTGCGTTGTGTTTTTTTTTTTTTTTTTTTTT